GTCTGTCGCATTCATTTAAGAGTCGTGTTCATTGCTCAAAACGTTAATGAAGTGCGAAATTCTGGAAAAACTACACGCTAAAGAAGAACGGTTCTTCTCAAAGTTGATTCCGATATTTTCAAAGGTAGTGCGGTAAAGATTAACCCAATAATATTTTTTTTTTATTGATTTAATTTCAGACAACCCGTGTACACAGTTTGCCTAGGGGATCGGCGTAAAGGCAAAGAAAGCCTGACAAAGCGCCAACCCCCTATGTACACACATACATAAACAGGTTATATATAGCAGTACAAAAATTGAGAAATTGAGATACATACAATATCAAAAAACATTTACAAATTTTTTTTTTACATCAAGCCAGTATTAACAAAGAAATGAACAGCAATTATGAATTAGCACATAAAGAAATAATAAGAGACTATTTACGCACAACAAACAGGCAGACAAAAGCAAAAAAAAAAAATTCATAAAGTCACAGCAGCACATAAAAGTTACATAAAATAAAATGAATCGAAAGAGGTATGAGAATCTGTTTGAGTTTTTAGAAGGAATGTGTGTATCTTCTTTTTGAAAACATAAATGGAGGAACTTTGTTCAATTAATGCCATCACAGTGGGGTGTTCATTAAGAAAGTGGGGAATTTGGTAAGTTAGTTTTTGTGTACCGTAATTTGTACGAAGCGTGTCTTTCTTGAAACTAATATGTCGTAAATTATGACTGTGGTTACGCTCGTGATACTTCCTGAAAAATTCAATTCGATTAGATTTAACTTCACGATATATAATCATTGCTAATTTTTTATATCGGATATTATTAATGACTAGCAGTCTATGTTTTTCGAAAAAAGGGGCTGTGTGCGAACGAAAAGGTAGAAGTTCAATTAATCGCACAGCTCGTTTTTGTAATAGATATAAATTTTTGAGGTTAGTTTTTGTCGTCGTTCCCCAAATCAGAAGACAATAGTGAAGGTGCGAATGTATGGTTGCGTAATAAATCTGTCTTTTTAACCATACTGGTAATAGGCTGCGCAACGTGCATAGTATGCCAACTGCTCGAGAGATGTTTTTTCGCAAGTAATTTATATGCACAGACCAATCTAAATATTCGTGAAAAAAGACACCGAGAAATTTAAGAGACGCAACGCGTTCAATAGGCTGTCCCTGAAAGCTAATAATATTCTTACTAATGTATGTTTTGTTACGAGGTCTAAAAACAACAAATTTTGTTTTTTTAGCATTTAGATTTAACCTGTTGGCCCTAAGCCATGTAGATAAGTTTTGTAGCCAAATATTCGCTTTCAACATAAGGTCGTCAATATCTGGCCCAGAGAAGAATACATTCGTGTCATCGGCGTACAAAATAATGTCAGGTGTAAGAGGTATGTTAACTATATCATTTATGTACATAATAAACAAGAGTGGGCCAAGGATTGACCCTTGTGGCACGCCGCATGTAATTTTACCGAATTCAGATTTCGCATTACCAATATTGGTGTATTGCACACGGTTTTCTAGGTAACTTTTTACAATGTCTAGAGCTATACCTCTGACACCGTATCTGGATAGTTTGAGCAGTAAAACATCATGCTTAACGGAATCAAATGCTTTTTTAAAGTCAAGGAAAAGCCCTACCGTGAATAGTTTTTTTTCTATGTTGTCAACTATTTTATCTTTAATATCGAGTAATGCCATTTCTGTGGATTTTTTCTTTTGGAAACCATATTGATTTTTTACGATAATGTTTTTTTGCTGAAAAAAATTAGTAAGCCTGAAGTTTATAGCTTCTTCAATAACCTTGGAAAACATAGGTAAAACAGAGATTGGCCTATAGTTACCGAGATCGTTTTTATCTCCTCCTTTAAAAATAACTGATACCTTTGCAATCTTCAGTTCGTTGGGAAACGTTCCAGAGCTTAGAATAAGATTGCATATGTGCGATAGAGGTAAACAGATAGCATGAGCGACTACTTTAAGAGGAACTGCCTTCAATTCATCTACACCACAGGCACTGTTGCTTTTTAACTTTTTTAACAAGCCGCATATTTCTTCCGGTGTAGTAGGATACATATAAATTGTTGAATCTGAGCTGTTCATGTAAGAAGTGCAGCTGATATCATTTGTCGGTGAAGACGTGCAAACACCTGCCTTTAAAAAATGCTCATTAAACTTGTTTGCCAGCGAACTACCCGTATATGATACGCCCTCAATCAATATTTCCGATATTACGTCTCTTTCGTTTTTATTTCGTAGTTCATTAACGCAATTCCACACTTTCCTGGAATCGTTAGCAATGCTAGTAAACTTAGCCTCGTAATACAAGTTACGTGCTTGTTTAATATCAGCTGCTAATTTATTTCTCATTTTTTTGTATTCAGCTAACTGATCAAGGTTCTTTGTTTTTATAAACAATGCAAATAGTTTATCACGGGTCTTTATTCTCTTCAGTAAAGAGGCATCAATCCATGGTTTTCTCGATTTTTATGTTTTTTAAGCTGTTCTAAGGGAAATACAGTGTAATAGAGTTCTTTTAATGTTCTAATAAATAAGTCATAGGAGACGGTAGGATCAGTTATCTGCAAGACAGGCTCCCAGCTAGTTCCTTCAACCAAATGTTTGAAATAATTAACCCTTTCTGCAGATATTTTTCTTAAAAGAATAGGTGGCTGTTTGCGTTGGTTGTGTTGAGCCATGTGAGGCGTAAAAAAGATGAAGAAGGGCAAATGATCACTTATGTCTGATATTAACACTCCGGCATCAGATTGACCAATTTCATAATTTGTAAAACAAACGTCTAGCAAAGTTTCAGATTTGCTCGCTATTCTTGTAGGTACATCAATGACATTTTGACAGCCAAAACAAAGAAAAACATCAAGTAGCATCTGTGCAGGTGACTCCACAGAGAGAAAGTTTATATTCAGGTCTCCACTAATTATTATAGGTAGACCAACGTATGAACAGTGCTCTAAAACACGCTCTAGAAATTCAATAAATTTTGTTACAGAACCGTTTGGAGGCCTATATAGAACGGCTAGCATTGTGTTAAAGCACTTCACAAGCAGACATTCATAGTGAACATCAATGATTGAGTATTCTGGAATAACTTCATAATTAAAGTGGTTTTTAATGTACACAGCAACGCCTCCTCCTCTTTTTTTAGGTCGTGATACTGATATGCAGTTGTATCCCGAAAAGTTTACAGCGGGGCAGTCATTGGAAAACCAAGTTTCGGTGAATGCCAATACGTCAAACTCATGATCTAAGTTGTCTAAAAAAAGGTTAACAGAATATTCCGTCTAATATGCCGATTGTTAAAAATTATGGCTAATGCGGCATGTTTGAGCAACTTTATCGCATAGTTTAGTGTGCGGTTACACGACAAGGTACATTGAGACATTTTCTGACAAAATGTTAATCGAAGTACAAATCATTTAGAAAATAGTCGTGCCACATAAATCCACAGCATCAATATTTCTATTGTTCGGGACTCAAAGCCAAGGGGGGGAATCTGGCAAAATTTTATTCCAACGCATGACACAGCGCAACTCTATAGATAATAAAAACTGGTAGATTGTCATCCGCTGCCCTACGCTGTTACAGTGACGATTGTATTTTTCTGTATGCACGCGACAAATTATTGTTATGCCGACGCAATCATTTTGAACTATCGAGAAGCTATGCAGTATTGAAAATATCTTAGCAGGAAGACATTTGCGCGACGCTGCACATTGCACAGACATATCTAATTGCACCTGACATTATGCCGGAATACGTTATCTTTTTTTAGGGTATCCATACAAGCATTTTCATTGGTCTAAAACGAGACCTTCGCCGTTCGTAGATCGGTGTGCAGGCTGCCATGGCGGCAATGACCTTAGTTGACGGTTTACTTGTTTTTATTATGGGAACCAAAGTATAGTAAATGTTCTTTTCTTTATGTTGTTCTGAGCAAATAAGTGGAAATAGTCGTCTGTATACTGTTTTGTATGCTCGAAGCAGCTTACAAAACTCTTGAAATCGTGTGGCTTGATAGAGCGAATATTATTGGCACTAATGACTGGCCCGATCACCACAAAAAATAAGGCGATGCAAAGACTCCTTTAAATTTTCTCCGACACAGGGATTGGCACTCTGATCTGAAAGTGTTCGTGAAACCAGGCATTCTCTTACAATATTTTTTTTTCCATCAGCACAAGCGCAGCCAGTGTTTGGCTCACATCCTCCGATGCCTTTAGCAGCGCTCTCAACCATCGTATCAACTTAATAAATAGCGCTGTCACCTGTTTCGTTGATTTACAAGCGGAGCGAAGAACATCGTTAGGTAAATGAGGCTGCTTTCAAATGTGAACTTCTGCATCAAGTGTCGGGTTCAACGGGCAGCGAACAGTATGAAAGCTTCCGAAATCTTTGTACCGAATGGTGCTCTAAGATATAGTAATCTAAATACAAAAATGAAAAATACCGAATCGCTGATATGGAATGTCAGTAAATACAAGTGCCGTCACATGGTGAAACCTCCACAAGTTATTGCTCCAAACGGAGGCTGAGTTTTAGACCCGCTTAATCGGAATGTCTGGCCGTTGTCAACTGAAGAAGTTGTCTTTGAAGACAAAATTGTCTTTGAAGACAGCATATTAACGTTACAAAACCAATTTCAGAAAGTTACAAATCATGCAGCGAGTATCTCTTATTTATTTTGAAATGAGGCTACGATGACCCGTGTTCTGACAAAAAAAAAACATTATTTGAGCTAAATTTTCACATTCCTATAAAGTATTGCGGTGCGTAAAACTTGAATCTTGCAAAATAATACCACTTCACAAAACAGTATTAAGCCAAACAAACCATCAAATCTAAATGGTCAAAGTGGGCCACCAATTATATGAATCTTGTTTATTTGTGACATCTCTATCCTTACACATATAATTGACTCTTGTGATTCGCATTCATAATCACACAACGAAAAAAAAAGATGTCAGACAGTAGCTGACCAAGAACACTCACTTTTCCTTCTCGTGAGGACAAACGTTTTCCTTCTCGTGAGGACAAAGCGGCCCAAGCGGGACCTCCGGTAAAGACGGCCTCGATCGAGGACAAGCGCCAGCACACGCCGGCGAGTCCCGCCAAAAAAGAAAGACTTTCGAGCGAGGCCCGGCAGCAAATTTTTCGCACCCGTGTGGTCGCCGCCGCAGTCCCGAGTCCCACTCACCGGGGCTGCCCCCTTTCTAATAAAGCTCGCTTTTTATTGGCTGCATCGGAAGAACCACTTTGCGCATGCGCCCAGGTCGCGCACACCTCCTTTCCTGGCCTCTCTCCCACCATGTTGCTCCTTTCCTCCCGCACTTTAAGGCAACTCCCTCCACTCATCCCTCCTGATGCAAGACCTGGAAAAGCACCAGCCCCCGGCTCATACAGTTCGCGTCGCTTGCCAATAACTACGCTCTTTGGTTTCCGGGCAGGAATAATGCGTAAGTTTAGCCTGCCTTTGACGACCACGGTTTCGCCGACGGCACCTAAACGACGATATCGGCTAGAGAGATGAGAAAGCGTGCCGCTCTTCTTCCTAAATTGTTTCTATGGGCGTGAAAGCCTCGTAATATCCACCGCGGACAAATATGCGCTGCCGATGTGGCATCGCACTGGGATTACTGGAAAACAGATCGCTGCTACTCAACTTGAAGCAGAAATATTTTCACAGCTGAAACAGTATCCTCTGATGCTCTGTGAGAAAAGAGTACGCGCTGCTCTTTGAGGCGAACTCGCTCGCCAAACGCTCTCTAAAGATCCACTCTTGAGCTGTGACTCATAAGATTGTGTGATGATCAGGACTCCAAAAAAGTAACTGGTGACCCATATTTTCTTAAACTGTATCGCAAAAAGCCCTTAAAATAAAGGTGAGCTGCAGCTGACTAGAGCGCTTTATGGGGCTTAAATTATTAACAGCGAAAGCCTCTCATAAAGGAACATATTTGAGCGATTTGTTTGTTCATGTCACAATTTGTCAGCGGACCAGACCAAAGATTGTTAATGGCTGAAAGTTTTCATGGTACTGACAGGATAACCAGTGCAGTGATCGACAGACAGACAGACAGACAGACAGACAGACAGACAGACAGACAGACAGACAGACAGACAGACAGACAGACAGACAGACAGACAGACAGACAGACAGATAGATAGATAGATAGATAGATAGATAGATAGATAGATAGATAGATAGATAGATAGATAGATAGATAGATAGATAGATAGATAGATAGGATAGATAGATAGATAGATAGATAGATAGATAGATAGACAGACAGACAGACAGACAGACAGACAGACAGACAGACAGACAGACAGACAGACAGACAGATAGACAGATAGATAGATAGACAGATAGACAGATAGATAGATAGATAGATAGATAGATAGATAGATAGATAGATAGATAGATAGATAGATAGATAGATAGATAGATAGATAGATAGATAGATTGACACTGCGATACACACGGCATACCTGAAAATGGCGTCAACGATTGATGGGGGGGTTCGTAAAGAGCACGCCACCACCGCAGCGATATCTCGAGAGGAATCAGCGGCAGGCAAGTCTCGTGCGCGCAAGGTATCCGCCTCATTAACCGCGAAAATATCCGGGAAGCTATACGGAATACACGGGCAGAAGTGTTTCCAGTACCCTAAATAGAGGGCAGGGGCTAAGAGTCTCTAAAACCACTTCGATTCGCATTACAGTATACTTTATCAAATAATAATCAGCAGTCCCTCGTGCCTAACAGTCAAGGGTCGACCACAACAGCCTCTCACAAAGCAAAATCACCCAGTACAGTAGACGCCGTGTCAGTCACCATCAAATATCGAGCTCGGAGAGCCAGCGTTGATACTTACTGACCACCACGCAGCAGCCTGCCACCGATATCTGATTGAGCGCTTCCCTGAAAAGCCTGGGCTCACAAGGACGTGATGAGATCGTCTAATCATACATGTCTAGCGAAAAGACGCACTGGTATTTGAGTCTTGTCGATAAATCTCCGAGCAACTCATGACGAGGCATCTTCCAAAGACGCCAGGAATAAAATGGGCCTTCTTACGCAATAAATGTTTGTTACTTCTATGGTTGCCAGGCGCCTACAAATTGCCACGGGTTGCCAAAGAAAATGGAGAAGACGAGGAAATTTTGGGCAGACCTCTTGCGCGTGCCTGCCTGCGAGTGCTGTGTAAAAATGTATTCCTCGCCTCCGCATGACATTTTGGCCCTCTACGATAACTCAGTGGGCGTTGCGATACCTGCTCGAGACGAGAACGAGCATGCATCGGAAACCAAGCATACTTCGACAGACTTGAGCACAATCAAAACACTGACATCGAACAACTATTGAGTGTCTCGATTCGCGGTGTCAACTCGTAGCCGAACATTTTGACAAAACATGAGGGCTCCTTGGTAACAGACGCATGGGCACGAGCCTCCCTCATCCAGAAAGCGTGTTTGGGGAGCATCTGTTTTCACTGCAACCATTTTAACGCTTGGCACAAGGGTAAATATACTTTGCGCAAAGGGTCTAAGCTGCCACGATGAATGCACCGGAGAAAGGTCAGATCAGCAGAAGGCAAGTAAAGCTGCACAGTATGGTAATCACCATTTCTTTCGGGGCGACCAATCATCGGGAAAATCCGTCTAGACTTGGACGAGCAGGCTTTGTGTATGCATTTCTTCGTGTTTGATTAGCACGCCCGGTGATGTATGCCTTCCGCCTTTGTATCCGTGTCTCATCTTGAATTCATACCGTTGAGATACAAAACGACAGAAAGAAGGCAGTAAGCCGAACGTCAACAAGCGAAGCGCGAGTACCGAGAGCACAAAAGCGGCCGCGGAAAGCTCAGAAATGCGTTCGAACCCGATTGAACACTTTCTCACACATTCAGCTTGTGCCCACTGCAGGCCTCTCCCAGTAATTTCTAGTTTACCTCATATTCTGCTCTCAGAAAGTAAATATAGGGCTGTTGTCTCTGACTTCGGTATGCTGTATTTTTTTTCTTGCATATTCATTCCTTTCTCAAAGGATGCACCAATTGACCTCTAAACAACTACCGTCGGCGCCCTTTTTTTATTTCTGTAAACTTGTCATTTTTTGTATGATTCCACCTGATTCGCCATTGCTTTCGGCTGAATTTCACAGTCACTGGTATCCTCTGTGTTGCTTATTGAACGGCAGCTTATTAAGTGGCTCGGCCAGGCCTTTAGGAGCGAAGCACCTCAGGGTCGAGCCCTCCGATGTCCATGGCTTGCACGCGCTTGGAGCGACGGCTGCAAATGCACCGATCGTGGTAGAAGAGGAGAACGATGATCGCGCTCGTGGCTCGCTGTTTCTTTCGCTGCGGCGCCCCGAGAGCTATAAAACGCACTCGTTCCCGTCTCTCTCTGACAAGTACCCATCACCCACATCTATGGGCTATGGAACACTACTCTAGCTGCACGCTATCATATAGCATGGGAGTGCCGGAGAAACACATCTGCATCAGATGTATTTAAGGATTTCAGTAGAGATGGGTGGGAGGTGGCCCTGTCCAGCCCGGACCGGGGGGTTCAACAGTCCCTAGTGGCCCGTGCAAGAACTAGGGCGAAAGCCAATGGGGTCCCGTATTAGGGACTCCACCCATTGTTCACATCGCTTCTTTTTTTCCCCACGCCGTCAAGGATCGGAACGACCTTCCCTGCTCCATTGTTTTAACCACCTGCCCATCATCCTTCGTGACAAGTGTTACAAATCACCTGTGCTGCGAAAATTAACGTGTTCAAATGTTCTCTTTTCTTGTGTATTCACCCCTTAACTAATACCCCCCCCCCCACCCCCAGTGGGGTCCTTAAATAAATAAAAAGAAAGGAAAAATGAATGAATGAATAGGCGTAATAGTTTTTCATCATTATCATCTCTCATGGTCATGGGAATGTAGACACGGCGGTTGGCAGCGCGGCAACGCAGTCCAGAGTTTCGGGCTCACAGAGTGGCTGCAGCATAGCAGCGCAGACAAGCGAATCCGGACTTGCGAGCTCGCGAAGCTGCAGCGTAACGACAGCGCCGACCAGGCAAAGCACAGCGGCGCGGCAACGTCGTCTTCTGAAGTTTCAGGTTGGCTCCCATACAAGAACCCTTAGCTTTACATTTCACCGATCACACGGCGGTCATAATAAAATGTAACGAGGCGCACATCTCAACACCGTATACGCATTGTGATTAATAAACAGCTTTGTATGTACTGTACACACGTGTTGTCACGCAATGTGCGGGGGTAGCTTCGCTTACTCGCCATCATTCACTTCGTGCATATGCTGTTGTTTTCTTGCGCTTTGTTTCTTCGGGGTGATAGAAAGGGTGTACTAGCAAAACATGCAGCGTGAAACGGTCGCTGAAGAAGAATGGTGCCAATTCGTCCTCGGCAGCCTGTTGCAAATGCAATGAAAGGTGCGTCCATTCGATGCACGGGGAGAAGGAAGAAATCGGTCGCTTACAAGTGGCACCATTTCCCCCTTGGTCCATAACGGCTTTTCTTTCACGGGTGGAACGTAGTGGGGTCGAAAACCTGCTCAAGTTCGGTGACACGGGTGTGTTTTGTCGCTTACGAACTTGCTCTGCGTGACGGTGCCTGTCTTCACTCTTGAACCCTCCTTGCCCGAGGTCAGCTTGTCATTGACACCCTAGAACACACCTCGGCATCGCTCGCAGTCAACCGATCTCATCTGAGATGCTAAAGGCTGGGGAAAACATATCAAACATTGCTCGAACATTGTAACTAGGGAGAATTTCTGAGGGGAAAAGTCCTTACTTGCGGCGTGTTCGGATAATGGCGAAGCAGCCTCCTTTACGATGTGATCCTCTTCAACCATTCCGTCGCTCTGAGTGTTGCCGAACGGGCGCCTGCATTCCACTCCGGAGAAAATAATCGCAGATGCCACGTACACTAGAAATCGATGATATGCGAAGCACGAATGAGGAATGTTGATATATGTCACTTAAGTATCAGCGAAATGTTACGAGGCAGGTGTAAATTATGCCGTACCTGACTTTCATGTCATCATTATAATGCTTGCGCCTGAAATTTGTGTTCGTCGTCCATTCACGTCACTTACTACCAAATTTGGTATATCTGAAGCTAGCGAAGCGGCCGCGAGCACACTGTGAACGTAGCATGTATTCATGTTTTACA